CAGCTGGCAGAAGCAAAAAATAAGGCCAGCGAGAGAAAGAAAGAGGATAAGGAGAGTGCAAAGAAAATAATGGTGGCAAGGCCCCAGCCTGATCCTGTGCCTGAGTGGCCAGATTTGGACCCGAATCTCTACCCTGATGACAGGTGGCCCATCAATCCACCAAGGCAGCGTCAACCCGCAGGGAATTGGGGGACCGGTCGACCGCAGACAGGGCGTGGTCGATCCGCAAGGGGAGGACAAAGGGCTCGGAGTACAGGGAATCCCAGTTACAATGTGTGTTGGACTGGCTGTTTCAGATGTGGAGCAGAAGGACACTGGTCCCGAGAATGCCCTGAACCGCCGCAAAACTATCAGGGGCGAGGCTATCAACCCCAGGCACGAGGAGGCCCAAGACAAGGAGCTGCTTACAGGGGAGCACATCAAGCTCCAAACCCAAATGCAGCACCAGTCACCCAGTACCCAGTAGCTGACTGGGGCTGGGAGGGGGAGCGATACTGACGGAGCCCGAACAGACCGAACAGCGTGGGGATGGCAGAACCCATGCTGTCGATGACCGTGGAAGGCACTGAATTGTCTTTCCTGGTGGACACTGGAGCAACATACTCAACACTGAGAGCCACACCAGACAGTGCAACACTCTCCTGTCACACAGTTAATGTGGTGGGTTTTTCCGGGGTTCCAATGACTCTGCCATTGACAGATCCAGCATTGACAAAGCTGGGAAAACAGACTTTGAAACACCAATATGTGGTGTCCTCACAGGTGCCTGTAAACCTGCTTGTGAAGCTGGGAGCCACAATCATGTGCTCTGCAGATGGACTGACTGTTACTCTGCTTGGAGAAAAAGAATTCCTGTGCCTGGGATCACCTTCAAAGACTCAATATTTAGTCCAGAACTCTGAACAAGCCACTGCCAAAATCTACTGGGGGAGGCTAGTGGAAGAAGGCATTCTGAGACATTATCAGCGGTGGAAACCCTGGATAATGAGCCTGGCCGTCTATTCCCCGCCACAAGATCTATACCACGTCACTCTCTTTTATGATAGGGAAGATAATGACACCTATCGGGAACAATCCCAGTCTGATCTTGAGGGTCAGACTTGCAATGTGCGAACACATAACATTTATGTTGGACCAGAAGGTGTAGCCACGGCTGTGAAATTTACGGATGAACAACTGCCTTGGTACAATGTGGGAGAGGATTCAGCTCCCCACATTACATTGGCGGTCCACGAAGGTCATGAAGCAAGAGATCTGGGACCGATGGTCAAGCGGGCGCTGGACAACACGTGCTGGCAAGGCACCCAAATTCCAAAATGTCTGGTATGCACCAAAATGTAAAACATATGGCATAACTTGTTTGTCCAACGATGCAGTGATCTTAGAACATAAAGAAATTTCCAGAATACATGGCAAGGAAAGAACGGATCATCCTGGTCTCAGGTATGCTTAAAAACCTTTAAATTGATTAAAAATCCCAGTCTGCAATTAATACAATACAAAATACTACATAGAGTGCACTATACAG